TGCCTAAAGGTACAAGTTTCAGGAGGAGGAGATCATGGTCAACACGATCAAATGCCTTAGTGAAATCAAAATAAACTATATAAAGGGTAAAACCACTGTCTCTTGATTGTAGCACATGACGAGAGAAACAGAGCTGGCAGGTGTCACAGGATATTGTTTCGAGGAACCTATGTGAGCTGCCTTAAGTAGGTTGTCCTCTGTTAGATGACGCATCATTTTGTCTTCGATCAAGGATTCCAAAATCTTTAAGGTTGCCGGAATCATATTTATTATCCAAAAGGCATCAAATGACGCCGATCGGCCGTAGTTAGATATATTCGAGAATGAGCGACTCCTTCCATAAAATAGGAAAAGTTTCGCTTTTAAGAGCAAGATTTACTATTTTACACAGAAGAAACGGAAAAATATCATTCGTTTCCGCTTTTAGAAGGCTGACCGGGACGGCACCTGTCCTGGAATATGAAATTGACGAAGGCGACGTAGCAATGCGGTCACGTCCCTGAGGGTAAAAGCAAAGGTTTCGAGGTCGGCGCCAGTCCAAGCCCGGATAATCGGAAGCGGAGCGACCGAATTTTCACTAAACGTTCTGGATGCGAACACACTAAAGCTGTCAGCCGTAAACTTAGCATCAACTGTGGAGTTTTCTAAGGCCTCTCGAAGTATGGGGCGCTGCGTTTTTCTCTGCACATTTACTGTGCGTGAAAATTGTTTCTCAAAATTTAACGAAGGGCTTTCAGCAAAGTTGACCTCATCGGCTAGCTGGTCTTCTTCGGAGAGCCTCTTAGTCTGCTCAAAGAGCAGTAAGAAAAAGAAAAGAACGGAAGTGGCCTCCTGTAAATGGAAACAATGGGAGAGTCTACACAGCCTACGGGGAAAGATCGAGAGAGGTAGACTTATTCCCTGATATTAATTATTTTCTAACGGGGAACAAAACGAGACACAAGTGGATCCAGAGCTTTGTACAGTATCTCTGAATAAACATTCACAGCCAAACGCAGGAGAAAGTCAGACCAATGGAGGGAATTAAGATGGGGGGTCATAGTTGATGTGATTATCATTCGCCGGTCCGAAACCGAGGCGTTATGTGTCGTGATTTCCTCATTGTTGTGATGATAATACCAGGACTTTCGCTTACTCCCACCCTCCGTGCGCGACTAGGAACTAGCATCGCAGCACCGAATATGGAGACGGTAGATCATCGGGCTGGAAAATCACGACTCAAGTGACTCATGTCATACACTGGTGTCATTAAACTTGAAGGTGTGGCCGGGCTCAGTCGTATTAAGCGCGATATAGGAGTCAGCGGCATTTCTCTTCACTGCTACCGCAAGCTCTGCCATTCATATTTAGAGTAATCTCTCAAGTCCTCGTACGTAATTACCTTTTCTGCTACTTCAGTCATGGTTCTCCGATCCGCATATATATGGGATAATAGCACGAGAATTCAGTGATCGATTTATTTGGCCCCAAAGTCAGTTATTGTCCGTCTAAATGCATCGATTTTGCGAGCTATATTTATCGATAAATCACTGTTCAAGTGGGTAAAAGTCAGTTCCAATTACATTTCATCGATTTTGAGGAAAAGCAATGCGTCCAAGTTGCATTCAAAATCTGTCTGTGCCTTGAACGTGACTTAATTGAAATAAACTACGGATTACTTCCAAAGTACGGAGTCAAGTTTTATTGATATTTGATGCTGCCAGGGCTAATCTGCATTGGCGAAAATGGGCAATTTTATTGCGGTTAACAAGCAATAAGCGTTTTCTTATCCCCTGGATACCTGAATAAGATCCACTGATGCACCTACGAACGCGCTATCGGAGTTGCGCTCGGATTTTATGTTGAGCATTTACCCTACAGGCAAAACAAAGTATTTTCTCCCATCCTGATCGGCAGTCATTATATGAGGTCCTCCGTGAGTCAGCCTGTAATGGGCTGTTCCAGAGGCCGGAAGAAGCAAGCGTTTACAAGTGCAATTCGTGTGGAGCTAGTCACTACAACTTTGCATGATGTCGACTGTTGTGTAATTTTGAGCTACTGTATATCGTTTATAATCTTCCAGTGTTATCTGTTTTCCGTAAACATTTTTATCCACGACTACTGGAGGACGATTTTCTTGGAAATTTTGGGATGCTACTTAACTGAAGCGTATATATGCCCCTTCCAGCTTTAGGGAACGGGCTGATGTGAAGACACACGCAATCTGGCGATTGTTCGCTCCAAGGAAATTGCCCAAGTCCTACTCGACGACATTTGGTGAGCAGATCACAGGTCTACTACAGGAGTCGCTGTCGGATAGCTGTCGAGGCGACCTGTGCAAATCCGTGGACATGGCCACTAGTGTTCAAGTCCCCACCAAACTCAGCGCTCCAAAAAAGACTGCAACGGAGACCGAGGACAGAGCGGCTGGAGACCAGAAAAGGCGGCCATCGTCATCCTCGGCCAAGCAGCCCCACACAAGGCCGAAGACCCTGAACATGTCCCATCACGAGACGAAGCAGCAGACAGAGATGCTACGCGAGAGACTGGGAGATGTGGAAAGCAGAAAAGATACGCAGCAACGTGCAGATAAAATGCAGCAACAACCCCAGGCGTCCCCCGTCTACTCCCAGGTGGTAACCACTAGGCTGAATCGGTGCGATGAATCGGAAGGAGAAATGCGCCGTATAGATGCACTGCTAAATACTCTAGAAGACAAGTTGGTGAGTAAGCATACTTGCCGTTTGAGTCACAAAAAACGATGTAGTATGGTGCTTGTTGACTGGTTCTCTTTTATACCCCTCACCACTTGTCAATGAC